CTCCAATCGCGGGCATGGTACCACATGCCTTTTTTGTGGCTGATTGTGAATGAGTCATATGTTTTTCCGTTACTTTCAAGGTATCAATTATAGATTTATTTTTAAATAATGTTTTTTTAATATAATAAAAAGACATATATATATATATATATATTCATATTAAATAGGTGATCATATAATAGGAAAAATCACTGTGATATCCCACAAGAATTACAAAATGTCCGATTACTCATTGACCAAAAAGTTGGTGTAGGGGTATTTTTTAATTTTAATTTTTATTTAATTGTTTTTATATAATTTGAATCGCATTTTAATTTTGATAAGAAATCTATATTTTTGTTTTAATTTAAATGGTTGTCATAGTTGGACGACGAATTGAGAGTTTGCATCTCACCTTACTTAAGTGGGATATTTAATGTATGGTTGGCGGTTGTGCTCCTTATTCGTTATGTTATTGTTGAGTGGCATTCGACTGAACGTGTGTTTCATCAATTTTGGTTTACACAATTTATTCCAGAAGCACCAAGGAACCTCGACAATATGCATAACATCGATAGACGGGGCAAGAAAGATGTGAATTGGTTAGTGAAGCATAGATAATAGTTGGCGGTGTGGGAGAACCGACATCAACATTTGCCTCATTGAAAGTATATAACAGAATCTTGTTCGTTAATTTTAGATGGTTATATTGAATGGCTCAACGTAAACAGAAAGTCATTCTTACTTTAAACTCAAGCACGAGGGGTGGCAATTCATTGTCGCCAATAAAAACATTCGATGTCATAACATTATCGTCCCCCACTACTGGACGAAGAGCACATGCCTCTCGGTCATCCTCAACTATGCCACCGGAACCATCACACTAGCAACCAACGACACCAGTTTACATCTTTAACCCTTCAATTCACATGGGGCACCACTTAACTTTCAGTCGCCACTGCAGTCGGTTCAGATGCTACATCCGCAAGTCCAGATGTCATATCAATCGATTCAGATTCCACCACCATTTGGTTACGCAAAGAGCTCGCAGGGTTTTATGACACCCATTAACGTATATTTTTTTACTATGCTTACCGATCCAACATTTAATTCCTACGCGAATTATATTACAGATGGTCCTCCACCACAAACACCTCAACCACTGTATGCGTCACAAACATCAATGTCCATTTTTTACAATTTTCACAGTTCTCGACAAGTGGTAGGATCATCAGTCATACACCTCCAAGGTTCTTATTCTACAGATATCATATATCAGCATTCAACCCTTATCAAGACAATGTTGTTGAGATTGATGAGGAAGACGACAACGACGACGAGAATGATGGGGATGACGACGACGACGACGACGATGAGGAGCAACATATAAGAAGAAATCCTCCTAGAAGTAGATGACCACCACCTTGTGGAATACATTCTAAGAGACATCGATGAATCTGACAACTATGACAATCTTTTTATTTATTGTGTGATTATTTTGTATTTGCCTTTTATTTTTTTATTATGTATTTATATAAAGTGAGATTTTTTTTATCTTAATTGGTTTTTGCCTCTTATTTTGTTTTGTTATTATATACTTATATAAATTAAGTTTTTGTATGATATTTGATGTCTTTTTACAAACAAGGACAAACAAGACACAATAATTTGGGTACCCTCGTTTTATAGGATCGTTTTTAAAGCCTATATATATGTGGGAGGTGAAGACTAATTTTAATCTATTCAGGCAAAAGCTTTAGTTGTTTAGGTAAGATGGCTAATATTTAGGGGGGAATTTTTTTCAAATATTTAAGCATGTCTTTCAACAACAAAAATTCACTTGAGAAATTGAAGCTTAAAATAGAAAGAAATGTTAAACTCATAAGGAAAAAAAGAATATTTTTGCTATATTGTATATTGCCAGTATAATTTAAGAGGTTTCTTCTAAGTGATGATGTATACCTTTGTCGTATGATTGAGACATACTATTCTCATTATGTATCTCATATGGATATGTTGGTAGAGTTTGAGGATATTGATGTTGATGCTTCGAGTTTAACTACCCAACAAATTAAGCAGAATGAGTTCGGAAACACAGAGATAGATGATGAACACCCAGAAGCATGGTTCAAACACAATTAGGCATCATAACATCATTAAGAAAAGTTTGTTTTAGGTGTATGTGTATGCTTTTATTTATTGTTTAAAATCTGTGAAAGATGTGTGGTATTTATGGTTCGTTGGTTTGGTATACTTTATGTCATGTTTAATAGTTTGTTGTTAAATGTAATGTTTATGGTTTGTTGTTTATATAGTTCACATCTATAACAAATCTAATATTGAATTTAATTAGTCATACTAAGAACAAAATCCACTACAGTATTGCTTTCACGATTCCAGAAACAATAAAAGCAACCTCTAAACGTGTTATCACATAAGTAATATGTTTGTGGAATTTTTTTATGTATGAAATTGAGAAAATTTTAGCAATAGTTGAGATATTCATGCTTCTGCAGTGGAAAAGCTCTTTTTTTCTTAATATTTATATGCATTGGGTTTAGGTTGGACAATATTTGATATCCTTCTTGTAGCCTCTCTTTTATGTGAAGCAATCGTATGCTTAAAGTATAAGTTGCTTTGAAGACACTCATGATAGAGGCTTGCTTCAAGATATGACAACCAACTTCAACACTGACACAATATTTGAAAAAACACTCAACTATACATTCCCTGAACAATATATATGGATTTCTAAAAACATAAGTCTGTCGTACGAGCAACCATTCAGAACAATCCAAAGGTTTCAAGGCATACTGATGAATTCGAACATTTGAAAATGTGAATTTGTAATTTGATGCCAAGAAAAAATCCCAACAAGTTAAACGAATGTGGAGAAAGTCCTCAATAGAATTAAAAGCAACATAACGTAAAATATCAACTAATATATCATTCGGGAGATAAGAAAAATGAATTTTTAGCTGCCATTAAAAACGATGAAAAATTCTATGAAAATGATAGATAACATAATTCGAAAGATACATGAAAGGAAAAGTACTGAGGACCACTTGCTTTATTTCTCATAAATATAGTATTTGATGCTGGATAAGATAAAATCTGAAGAAAAAGAAAAATGTGTTTCAATGGAAGTGTTTTCCCTATTTTCAGAGAATCTCTGTCATTTCATAGTGTTTTCTATTATTATTCAGAGAATCTATATCATGTCATAGTGTTCCATCTCATCTGAAATGAAAGGCGCGTTCCAGATGAAGCATTTTCCATTATTATTCAGAGAAACTCTTCCATGTAATAATGTTTTATCCCATCTGAAATGAAAGGTACATTACAGGGGAAACATTTTTCATTATTATTCAGATAATCTCTGTTATGTCGTAGTATTCAATCCCATCCAAAATAAAAGGCACTTTCCAAGAGAAATGTTTTCCATTATTATTCAGATAATCTCTACCATGTCATAGTGTACAGTCTCATCCGAAATGAAAGACGCATTCTAGCGGAAGCATTTTTTATTATTATTCAGAGAATCTCTGTCATGTCATAATGTTTTGTCCAATTGAAATGAAAGACGAGTTCCAGGGGAAACGTTTTCCATTATTATTCAGAAAATCTCTGTCATTTCACATAATTGACATGAATTGTTCACCGACCCTCAACGTCTTAAACTTTTCAATTCTAAAACTCTGTATCTTTGAAATCTCAAACTCTCAAACGTTTAAACTTTCAAACTTTGAAACTCTCAAACTAAGAAAACGACTCATATTTCAGTTGTTGTTTATTATGATTGAGAAATTTAGGAAGATGAATACGGGGTTGTTTTTCAATCAAATCATTATATCCTTCTATCATTCAGAAGAAACATCATTCTTCATGATTTAATCACAAAAATCTCAAGGAATGCTCGTATTGGAAACAATAGAAGACTGGTTACACTTCAGTACAGATTTCTGACTGAATTTTTTTTTATTAACATATACATTATTCAATATCTCAAACGACGACGATGTTACTATGATGGTTGATGCTTCCAGTCAAAATTCGAACTCTATTATAGAAATGTGTGCCACTTTTGTTGATGTGCATCCAGTTCAAGATATGTCCTTATCCTCCCACTATGGCTTGCTTGAACCAGTTGATCAAGTTGCCTAAACCTAAAACCACCGAGCATGAGAGGCTCGTTCCCTACGACGCGCCATTCAAGGGAGGCACATTCCCTAGGACGCTCCATTCATAAAACCCATGGAAGGCGTGTTTCATGCGAAAAGCCTTCCCTCCCCTCGGCTAAGGTGCATCTCCTGTCGTGCGCCTCTTTCTCTCTCCCAAAAAAAGGTGTTAGATCAAGAAATAATTAAGAAATAATATATGATAGATAATATTTTTTAATAGAGTGATTTTTTTTGTCAAAAAAAACCTAATTAAAATGTAAATGATTGGACTTCAAGTTATAAATGTGTGTGAAAATGAAAAAATTATTAGATTAACTTGATTCACCATTTTATATGTGATCCTAATTAATAATATTTATCCATTTCATTTTTTCTAGGATGAATATTCATCTCTTTCTTATATATAAATAAAATAAATATTTAATTTAAAATTATTTTAAAATTAACGACACTCGTTCACCAGAATTATAAACGACGTCAGTTAAGTTCATCAAATAGTTTATTGTGAAAATGTGAACCGTAGATTGGTGATGAGAAAGTGGAAGAAAGGGCGGAGGAATCTGATAATGACAGGACAGGAAGCCTCCGAAATCAGAGGGGAGAATCTATCATTGCTCCCCACGCTTCCCCGACATTATCATTATGTCTCTTCCCCAAATACTATAAAACTATTTCCATGTGGATTCGTTCGTGGAAAATCATTAACCTAAACACAGGGACCCTTCTTTGACTGCTTATCCCATTTCATCATTATCATTTTCTCTCCTTTTGTCGTTTCTAAAAGACCACTGTAAAAGCCTGACCGCTTCTTTGTTCTTCCTGTCTCCGTTCATACAACAACAGTCGTTGCACCACGTTGAATACATCTCAAACTACTATATAAATATCATTGTTTCTTCTTCTACTTCTTCTCATTCTATTTCATCCACAATAAGTGAATCCGAAAGCTTAAATCCCCCCTTGTTTTCTCTGAAAATGCCATCAGATTCCGAGGATAGGCGGTCAACAAAGGCCATTAACACCGGAGCCCCACCGCCGGAACAACAACAGCTGCCGTGTCCTCGTTGTGATTCCACCAACACCAAGTTTTGCTACTACAACAACTATAACTTCTCTCAGCCTCGCCACTTTTGTAAGTCGTGTCGACGTTACTGGACTCACGGTGGCACCCTCAGGGACATCCCTGTTGGTGGTGGCACCAAAAGAAACGCAAAGCGTTCACGCACCACCACCAGCTCCACCCATGGAACCGTCGTTTCTTCTTCCACCAATGCCATTACCAACACCGCAAGTTACAATGACATCCACTTGCCAGCGGCTGCCACTCAGGTTTTACTACCACTGTCGGGCAATCAGGGAGGTTTGGGTATTGGTGGGGAGTCCAAGGGCAATGGTTTCGCTTCATTGTTGGGTAATCATCCTCAGGGACCTGGTTATCTGGCTCTTGGTGGGTTTCGGCTTGGTACTGGTCCAGCACTCGAAGATGTTGGATTTGGGCTTGGAAGAGGAATGTGGGCTTTTCCGATAGGGGATGGTGCTGCGGTTAGTGGTGGCAATGATGGGAATCCATGGCATTCTGAAGGTGGAGAAGCGGGGAGTGGTTTCTTTTCTTGGCCTGAACTTGCCATTTCAACCCCTGGGAATTTGCTCAAGTGAATCTCATCTTTTTTGTTCACCATCTTTGATGTAGAATTAGTGTCTGATAGTACATTATTAGGTATATGTAAGCATAAACAAAACTACAGCCTTTTTCTGTATTGTGTTATCTGGGGTCTCAATGTTGTTTGATTTGGTTTGTTTTTCTCTATTTTGATTCAGTAAAGCAGATCAAAAGCACTTACTAATATTCACAAGTAGATATTGTCGTTGAAAAACTAGCAATTGTATGACTGTGATACTTGTAATATCGGAAATAACACTTGTTATGTCCGTAATTGTGATCAACGCAATGTAAGTAGCTTTTTGTCAGATTGAATCATCCATTTTAAACGAACCATTCGATTAAAGGATGGGAATGTATTCTTTAAGAATCCTCCATAGTTCTTCTCCTTTCAAAAGATTGCCCTTTTATTTATGTTCTGCACCAAACAGCTTAATTGGCAAATGTCCACTAAATCATACCTTTTCTCGTACCTAAAACTTTTTTTTTGTTAATATTGTTTAAGAATCCTCCATAGTTCTCCTTTCAAAAGGAGCAAGTGAAACAGTTGGATTCCTTTTTCTCATATTGTTTTTGTTAATATTATAAAAGAATTCAATCATGTTTCTGATGGAGAATTTCAGTCCAAGCTTCCTTTCTTATTTGGTATCTGTAAGAATTCCTATAAAATACGAACTTGCCAATTTGATCCCAATCATTGCAGTCTAACACCGATAAATTTTCTATATGTTTTTCAATTCTGTGAACTGAGCCATCTCGCCACTCTCGATGCACGATTGTTTTCCGGCATGGAACATTTCATGCATGGTAGTAGGCCCAGCTTTCCTTCGGTTTTCTATACCCATGGACGAGTTAGGTCAAACTTGATCCAATATGGGGGATGGGCATGAGATCCGAACCCGATGAATTTTGATTCGATTCGATCTGATCCAATCGAGTCGATTTTCTCAGAAAAAAATCGAGTTCAAGTCGAGTCAGGTGTTTTTTAGAGGTTATATTCGAGTCGGATTCGAGTTTAGAGTGTAAAATACCCGACCCGAAAAAAATATAATTTTACATCATAAATTTAGGGATAATTACAATAATATCCCTTTATATATTATTTTTGTAATTAAATCCCTATTTTTATTGAATAAAAGTAATATTTTTAATAAATATATTATTTAGGGTTGGATTGAATTCGATTTTATCTCAAAAAAATGATGCCGGTTTGGATCAGATAGAAGATGTATATTTTTCGAATCGAGTGGAGGATGTATAATTTTTGGGTCGAGTCGGTGGACCGAAAACCCGACCCATACCCATCCATAATCCAATCTGTTTTGTACATAAATTTTTATAATAAAAAATTAAATTGATCGGATTAAGCTATGTCAAACTCTGCTGAGTTCAAACAAAGTTATCATCCCTAATCTAGACCAATAATGTTGGAGAAAATATTTGTATTAAAAAATTATATGTGCAACAACAATTGTGGTAATTTTTTTAATATATAGTTTGTAATATTAGTGTTATATGTTGATTCTTTAATGGTTTATATTATTTTAGATTTTGATAATATTTAAATATATTCTTGATCCATTCAAAAATACATTATCATAAAACTTATCAATTGATTTCAATAATAAAAAAGAAAGTTATTTTCCCTAAAAATTTTGTATTCAAACAATAACATCTGCAGGATCTGTGTGCGTTGTCAATAAATTAGTACTTAAGTATCACCTTGTCATTGTGAAAGTTAATGTGGTAAACTGACGGTACAAGATTGTCCATGTAGTTATCAAGTTTCACGGAAACTACTTATAAACTTCCCATTTCTAACATAAAAACAAAATAAATTCGTGCAATTATTGAAATTCAGCTTTGGATTTGGTGTGGAAATTATATATAATTTGATAAAAACTATTAATTCCTTCTTTTGCTAATTTTATAATGATAACGAATGGCTCTAATAGAGGGCAACGAAAGCAACAATACAAAGCTGATTGTGATGGGGCAATCAAAAAAGAAACAAAGACGAAACCCCATGGATCAATGGGAAGGCTGCCCCCATTCCACTTTGATGGCGACTACATTATCTCCCCAAATACGGCCTCAATAAAATATTTATATGTAAAAATTATTTAAATTTATCAATTTAGTTGTAATTTAATTGAGGTTATTATTATTGTTGAAGATGAGTCAAGGCTTGGTTCATTGGTTAAGAGTAGTTCGTTCCTTTTGATTTAAATGAAGAGTCATAGTCGATAAGAGAATTATCGTTGACCGATGGAAAGAAGAAACAAAGAGAAATATCATGAAGGAGAGGGAGGGTAGGTCGATTATGAACGGTCCATCCCCTCTTACCAATTTCAATTGGAGGTATTTATAATATCTTTTGGTGTGTGTTAGTCGAAGGGTTATGATAACTATTTATAGACTAATCAAGTTAGAAAAATAGTCAGAGATTAAATTTTGTCTTGATAAGTCAAGTGAATTTATTAGAAATCTTATATAGGTTTCGTCTACGCACTGTTGTTGACTTGAGGATCTGTGCTTGAAGGGTGTGAGCTATTAAGGACTTCGGCAAACGGAGAGATATGTGTGAAGACTATTTGCCGATGAATTTCTTGAAGATCTCATGTGACGGAAAACTAATAATTTTCAAATATCATTGTGCAGAGGTATAAAATTATAATATTATATTAATAAATAAAATTAATTAATATAAAAATATTAATAAGATAAATTTAAATTATAGTTTTAAACAATAACATACATAACATAAATAAATTTAAAGTGAATTTATTGTATTTTTTTTGTACAAATAAAGTTTAGGTTAGGGGTGACTCCTATAGTCCAAGGCCAAGTATACCTAAGATCCATTTGGGATTTTCATAGGAATGTACATATTGCTCATCAAGAATGACAGTTATAAGATTCAAATTTGACCTTATGAGCTCAAATTCCTGAACTCCGATCGTTGTCTGAATTTATTATACATTATCTATGCGTGAATATAGTTAAACTTGAATGGTTGAATTATAAATATTTGTAATGGTAAACTACACCAGATATCACTGAACTTTAGGTGTTATATCGTTTATACCACTTAACTTTCAATTTTACCAAGTATAACACTGAACCTTAATTTTTGTTTCGATTATACTATTGGGATATTAAATTGTTAACAGCCAGATCGAAACGATTTCGTTTTGGTGAGATGTCGACATCGACAACCATCAGCCACATCGATAGCCGTCAATTACTTCATCGTGTCGTTAACGATTTAGCGGTTTAGTTGTATAATTGAAACGAAAATCAAAGTTAAATGTTATAATTAGAAAAACTAAAAGTTTAGTGGTATAAAAGATATAATACAAAAAGTTTGGCGGTATCTGATGTAGTTTACCCTATCTATAATAAGGTGATGTCGTTTTCCACTGCGCGTCGACTGTATCAGATAAAGTGAGGCAGCCCGTCTCGCGCACCGGACGGCAAGCGCGGTCAGGTACTTTCAGCTGTTGTACTTTGCGAACAAATAATTTTCTCAAAAAACTACGTAATTCGAGAAGCACGCAATTTTTGCTTTCCTCTTCAATCTCTTTCCTTTATGGCAAAAATTAAAAAGACAGAATTTGAGTTTTCATTTTCTTACATATGCTTTTTGTTTCCTTTTTCATTCTCATTTCGTTTTCTTCATTTCTAGGGTATGGAACAATTAAGCTTTTAGCACGTGTTACGGTTTTTTTAAAAGATTTTCCCATCTCTCTTCTTCGTGGGAAGCTGATTTCATTTTCATAACTTTGGTCTTTTTCAGACAAGATTGATGACAAGATTTGGACATATCCAAATTCCCACCTTAAAAGTAAATTCATTGTATCAAAGCAAAACTTAGGATTTATGGACCACCCCCTGTATGGTATTACTTCTCTTTCACAGAAATGTCGTTTCCATGCAATTTGGTTGATATTGTAACATTTAACTTCATGTTGGAAACTTTAAGGATCCGTTATAATATATGTAGTGATTTAATTTCATTCTTGCAATATATTCCAAAAGAATGATGGTTTTTACATTAAGTACGACACTCTACATATGTTCATGTGTTCCATTATGTGTTCCATATTAGGGTAAACTATGCATTTAGAACATATGTTATTAGTTTTGGTTTGTTTTAATAACTAAACTTTCATTTTCTCAAGTTAACGTTAAATTTTGAACATGGGTATTAAAATGAAACAAAAATTAAATTTTAGGTATAATTTTAAAAAGAGTTAGTGATGGTTTGTATAGTATCATTTTCTCCCTTTTTTTTTGAGTATTAATAGACACTTCTCTCGCATGTGCGCATTTTCATCGTTGGACGATTGGTTTGTGGTTCTTGGTTCTTGATTTTTTTGAGTTTAAATTGTGCGTATAATATTTTTTTTAGAGAAAATTTGAGTGTTTTTCTAGAAGTCTTAAACTCTAGAGGAGAGAATTTCTCTATATTTATAGACTCTTATTGGCCTAAACGCTTCATTAGCCGATAATGCTGAAATTATGGGAGCGTTTGTTGATTGCTTATTTCAACCATTGTTTTGCCTTGAAATTATATGATCACGTTGAAGAAAAATGAACACAAGAACTCTACCGCTAGAAAACTAGGTCGATGCTCTTTCTTTTCTCCGAAAGAGAGAGATGACATAAAATTAATGTGATTAAGTAACCAATAGACCCACTATCTAATTAGATTATTCAGAATTTGATTGATGAATTCGAAGGAGATTTGACGTGCCCTAGACTTTGATATAAATACAGTTAGGGTTAGGTAATCCCAATATTATAAAGTAATTTACACATCGTTTCCCTCTTTCTAATAGTCTCCATTGTATCCCCGAGTGACAATTAAAAGATTCGTTTCTTGACAAATTGGATCGACAAACTTGAGACATGTAGGCCCCGCCATTCCCATCTGAACCTTTCGTTTTCAACCGATTTTGATCTTGTTTCTAAATCATTTTCCTATACTTGCGTGATTGAAAGTTTCCATCTTGTAAAACCATCGAACGATGCTTCATCTTCAAGACACAAACTGTTTTCAGACAATCATTTTTTTTATAACTACTTATATCCGATCTATTGATCGACTAATTCGAATCAGATACTGCAGAGGTAACAGCGACCCTCCCAACCCAGTTTACTCTATTCACAATGGTTAGGATTTGAACTCTGATCTTGCTTACAGATCTAGTATCTCATCCCACTAAATCAATTGATTATTGGTTTCAGACAATGATTTCCTAATAATACGAGTTAATTATAAAATAGTACATATTATTTTTTAATTTATTGATAAAATCCTACAGACGAACTTTTCAAACTCAAAACTTCTAAAACATAGCTAAGCACAAAATATATTGATTTGATCCGTTTCAAATTTCATTTGTAAATTGTCTTATATTAAATTTCAACGCGAAGAGCGAATTAATATTCAATTAAACTTAAAGAAAAGTTTTAGCCCCAAATTTAATAACAAAAGATATGAGGGTTCAACATTTCTCCGTCAAACATCACACATGTTTTAATATTTTTAATTTTAAAAATTGATTTATTTGTTTGATACGATAAAACTCATTTTTTTATTAAATTAAATATATGTTATATTTTGCGACACATCGGCGATGTGGGTGAAAGTACAGTTTATAATTTTTTTTTTAAAAACGTAATCAATAATAATTATAAATTTAAGTCTTGAATTATAGTTTTAAATTGTTTTACTCAAAAGATTTTTTAAAATATAAAAAGATGAGAATGTCCATAAATTAATATTATGTTCGTGTTCAATTAATCATTGACACAAACATAATTAAAGATTTTAAATAAATAATTTAAATTAAATTATCTCACCTCAACTCAAAATTATCATTTTGATATTTTTTAATAATATAAAATAAGGTAAAGTACACAAATGTCCCTAGATTATAGGCTACTACTTTGTTGAGTCTTTGATTATTAAAAGTTATAAAATTGTCATTCAACTATTTATATGTTCTAAACTCATCATTTTCAGTTGGAAAATTAACGTTCATCTGAACTAGACATTAATATGTTGATCTGGATATGAGAAAATCATATTTTAATGTTATCTATAAGTATACCAACTATAAATAAAGAGTCGATCTATAGAATAAAATTCAAAATGTTCTAAAATTATATTTTATCATGTCTTAGTCAACATGTTAACATCCAGCTCAAAAGATCGTAAAATTTTTAACGAAAAATGACGAGTTTCGAATATATAAATAATTGATAATCATATTATAACTTTTAATAGTCTGAGACTCAATAAAATTAATTAAATATTACATTGGAATGGGGGGGGGGCATTTTTTTTTTGTACTTGCCCAAAATTGATTTAGAGTAGGATGAAACTCGTGGACACGTATGACAAGTAATTATATGAGCAGTCCAACGACAGCAATGGGTTTGTAGTTGGAGGTGGGGGCTTTCAACTTTACACGCTCTTCAATGCCATTTGTCTTTCCTTTGAACTTGTAATCAATCTCAAAACCCCAGCCTAAGCTTCTTCTTTTAGGAAACTTGATTACCATTAATCATTTCTCAATTTGATGCATCAAAAATAAAATATTAATTATTATATTTATTTATTAGCAAAATTCTTAACCACTACCATCTCTTTCCAACTATTAACATAATCGGATTATTAAAAACACCCACAATAATAAATGATTGATGCAAAGAGGATTCCATTAAGTTAACTCATTATATTCTTTTGTATTCTCATTCAAACATTTTTCTTGGGTATAATTTCTTTTAAAATATAAAATATAAATATATTTTATAATTTTAGATAACATTTGATTTATTATATAACAATAACATGCATGGCAATATAGAAAGTAAATGAAAAAAACATGTGTATACCTTGTGTGATTAAAAAAATCATTAAACTAAACCAAATCATATCATAAAATTATAATTAATTTAAACATAAAATTAAAAATTTAATTCAATTCGACTTAAATTTCATAATCTATACTCGACTTGAAAAATATTTAAATTTTAAAATATTACTTTTTAACTTAAAATTTTAGCTTAATTCAATCTAATACTTATCCCTACTTTAATTAGTTGAATTGAGTTTTAAATTTTTTTAAAGAATTGCTTTTTTAATTAACGATAATTAATAATTATCAAATCCCACCCTTTGAAATTTGACAAGACAGAATACAATTCACTTCCCTCCAAGAACAGCTTAGAACCAAATTTATAATCCAAAAACAGTTGCTTTTGAGCTAGAAAGGCACTAAAGTGAGCATTCTTCTTCTTTCTTTTATTTTTCATATTGATTTAGCAGAGGCTATATTAAAGAATCCCCACCCTTTGCACCCACAAAACCAGCCAAACCAATTCTTCCCCCACTTTAGCTTTTCAACCACTAACCAGAAAGAAAGACACTCGCCATCTTCTTTGCCTTTTATCTTGTTTTTTTTTGGATTGTTGTAGATCTACAAAAACATGATTCAAGAACTCCTCGGAGCTTCTTCTTGCTTAAACTTTGGTGGTGAAATAAAAATCCCCATCAATGGAACCATTTTAGAAGGAACCCCAACTTCTTCTTCTCCATCAACATCGCCGTCACCTTCGTCTTCTCCGGCGACTATTTCATCGACTCCAGAGAACCACCAGAACGTGAGGTGCCCCCGGTGTGATTCCTCCAACACCAAGTTCTGCTATTACAACAACTACAATCTCACTCAGCCTCGTCACTTCTGCAAGACTTGCCGTCGGTATTGGACCAAAGGAGGCGCTCTCAGGAACGTTCCTATAGGCGGTGGTTGTCGGAAGAACAAAAGCGGCGCCGGTAGTATTGTTTCCACGTCATCCCTGGGGAAGTCAGCTTCTTTTTCCAAGATGAAAATGGTGGTTTCTGAAGTTGGGAGATCTGGGTTCGATCATGAGCTTCAATCCACTACTCCGGTTCTTTGGACAACTAATTCACCCCCGAGTTCACATCATTTATCCTTATTGAGAACCACCCAAAACCCTAACCCTAACACTTTGTCTAATCCTGTTGGTATCAAGGAAGAATTGAGCTTGCTTGGATCTCAAGTGATGAACGAACCAACAACGGTTGCAACTGGTGCACTTAATGCTCGAACCCTAGGCTTGGATCTTTATAACCCTTTCTGCAAAAACAATCATCATCAACAACAGAATAATAACGGGTTCCTAGTAGGTGAAGTTCAAAACGCAGGTATCCAAGAACTGTATCAAAGGTTCAAATCATCATCTCCATCAAGTTATTACTCTAATACTTCAGCAGTAATCCTAAGCAAGGTGGCTTCTTCTTCTACTACTTTATCGTCTCCTTCGTCGATCTTGGAGTCGGCTCCGGTTGCAGGAGGAGAATTGGGTTACTGGAATCCGGTATTTTCATCATCATGGTCTGATCTTCCAACAACTAATGGTGCATATCCTTAAAATAACCTCTTTTTTATATGCTAAATGTTGTCGGTCGCTTCTTCTTTATTAGGCTGGTTCTTTTTCGTTTTGGTGTGTTTTTAAGGTGTGTTTCAACTATTTAAATTATGAGTGTGTTCCAAGCATGTAGAACAAGTTAGAAAAAGGAAACGCTGTATGCTTTTCTCGTTATTTTACAGTTTCGATTCTTCATTATTGTACGTAAAGAGTTAAAGTTGCTTTGCTGCAGTTGTTTTTAAACTAAAAAAAATAACCAAACCAGAGATTATTCACAAGAGAATAAGCAGGAACGTGGGTTTATTATCTCGATTGATTAATTAATAAATATTAACTCGAAAACACTTTTAGGGTTTAAGTTTGTGTGACGAAGTGGTGGGTGGCATATGAAAGATTAAAGATTCTGTGCATTGTTTCGTGTAACAAGAAAGTAATGAAATAATGTTTAAAGCAGGCTTTTTGTTGAAGTGTTTCCGTAAAAAGCAATTTGATTCTTAGCAGTTGGAAAGGAGGATTCCAACTGCAGCCTTATAAATGTTATAGAATATTTTTTATTTTTTCAAGTTCGAGTCTGAGTTTTAATTTTTTATTTCGAGTTTAAATCAAACTTACGAGCTTTCGATTCGAATTAATCTTAAACTTTTCGAGTCGAATCGAACTCGACAATACTTGAATTCGACTCAAGTCAATTATATCTCTACTAATGAGGATTTCGTCATAACATCAGAAATCTTGATTTAAATATCATATATCCACAAGCTCTTGATACTATGATTTAAAACTTGATAAAACTTTCAAAACATAATTAGACCCCTTGGAGCTAATGCAGTATAACAAATGGAACTGATCAAGTGTTCCAACATATACAAATGGATATGAAAACACAAACATTTCAATCCACATCTACTTTCTCAGCAACCAACCACTCTCCATGGGTTTATAACTCAATCTAAGGGCGAATTCCAACAGCTTTGCCGCAGAGTAAGACATTAGAAGGAACATCGTATTCGTTGCTAAGACTTCGAACAGGATCAAAGACTCTTAAGTAAAACTGCTGCCCAAGATATTGTCTTCCCCATTGTGCAGACCTCAGGTTCCACATCCCCTGGTTGTCCATGGAGATCAATATGACTGTCCAAGAATTTGGATAAACCTGGAAAGGAATAAAACCATCAGTAGCAGAAAAATAACAGTATCTAACACAGGCATGATGTTGGCTTACCTGAGTAGTGTGTCTCGTAAGAGCATCGACTAGATTGTAAGCTTTTCGTTTATGTGGAGTCCATTGTCCATAGCCAAACTGTATGTATTGTAATAGAAACGACAAGTATCTAATTAGAACAAAGAAACAGTAAAAAGACAGCAAGCAAACAGGGCAGTGTAACTCACCCAACAACCCAAAAATCATAACCATCAAGATGCCAAGATTGCAGGCTGTTTTCGTCGTTCTGGAAGACGACTTCGAGAAAATCGTGTAAAGAAACCGGCATAACAGAGGTAGCTACGGTTGCAGCACCACCACCTAAGGGAAGGGCTTGGATGGAATCAATGGTGAAAACACCAGGAATGTTATAATGATCGGCAAGCTTGGGAGGGGTATCCGGATTAATGTAAGAGACACCGTTCACGGTGTAACGCAGCTTTCCGTTTATGAGGGATGCCGAGTTCGACAGCACAATGGTCTTGGTTGGTGTTATGTTTCCATAATGGAATGAACCCTGTGGATTAGGCCTGGCTGCATTTGATGTCAAATTCCACCTACGAGAAGGAAAACGAATCTAATAAGCTCATCCATGAGCTAAACTGATTTCAAGAACAAGTAGTGCTTCAATAACTAGTACCTATATGTTCTTGCCTGCTGCATTGACCAATGAAATTGGAATGCAGGAGCTGCTGGCAGGGGTCCCGAAACCGGGGTTTGCGAGTTCGTGTAGTGCAATACCGCCGTCGCAGTAAGAAGGGTCCTAGTAAATCTTGTCGATGCAACAATGTGGTAACTGTTTGGTGGCTGATTCAAGGTTACTAGGGCAGCTAAAGACTGCCCGACATGAACATCAAGAGAATCATATAAGTTCTGAACCACATGAGATCCTTCAACCTCAACTAGCTTCATTGTGTGACCCTGAATCCTGAAGTTCAATGAGGTTGATAATCCGACATTCGAGATCCTAAACATGTAAGTTTTGCCTGAACATTACAAATAAAACTTATTTGGTAAACAAAAAATCTTCGAATCAACATATATATCGAATAAATGAATCAAAATGCTATGAACACGACCATGTTCCCCTCTAAAGGTAGTTTGAGTCTGGCCATTTATAAGGACTCCATCAGGAAATGGAAGAGGCTTTCCTGAGTCCAAAAATTGCTGCAATGTCTGCACAAGAGGAAACAATACATTCGAGACAATTAATCGAACCAAGACAAGTCTTAATCCTGTTTATCCGACCTGTATACTACGGTCACACGCACTCCGCTGCTAGTAACACTTAATCATCAAGTGCAAAAACGAAGCAGAATACACTAACCTTATGACCGGTTTTGTACCAGTCACCAATAAGTAAAGTGAAATCTCCATCAGGGTTTGCATAAGGGATTGAGATCACACTTCTATGGTATATATTGAGAGCTCCAAATCCCCCAGCAGCTTTATGCAACAGAGTTGAGGGGAAATATGTGTAAGACCCAATTTGATCCTTGGCCTGGAACTTGTACGTGTAGTTTGAGTTTGGAGGAATAGGGCAATTGGTTCCCAGCACTCCATCCTGCCATGAGTTCTTCCTTTGCTTGATGCCATTCCTGTCAATCATTATCATTCGACCGTGCCCGATACTCGCACTCGAATTCGAGTACAAGAAAAAATCAGTAGACTCACCATGTCAACAAGAAAGGCTGGTCCAGCTTGTTAATGAGGTTCAAGATAAAGTTATTATTAGTCACAGCTTCAAGTTTTGGCCCTGGAAACTGATCATTGATAAGGATAACCTTCCAAACAAACAAAAAATACTTTTTCAGTAAACCCAGATCAAATCTCCACATCAAACCACATTACTTTCAACAAAAAGTGAATTCATATTATACCAAACCTGCTGGGGAATTCCAAGAACAGAGCGAGTGCCATAAGTGACAGTCCAAGTGTAATAAAAATCTGGGTCTTCAGCTTTCACTAACGAAACATTCAAAACAGCCAAAGCTCCAAGAATCCATGGGAGCATTACTGCTTTCCCCATATCACTTCCAATCTGAAAATGCCATTGAACCAAGAATTGTTCAGTAGTAAACTACAAAACAAATACGACAGAATCGGGTGATCAGAGAACATGACCATTTCAGTACCTTGAAAAATAAACTTACCCAATTTCAGAATCCTTGGAAAGTTGACGATTCCTGAAGCCACAATCTATTATAAGAACCAAAGCAGGAAAATGTGTGTAATCACCATTTTTGTTTTTACCTCCTCTAGCAGCTGCCAGCACTTCAACACTAGCTGTCCCTCCACCACAGCAGCATTCCAGTAGCTTCCACCAACAACAGCTGGTCCTCCACGTTTCAGCAGCTCTCCAGCAGCTTCCAGTAGGAGCCAGCTGCCCTTCCACGTTTCAGCAACACAGCAGCTGCCAGCGCCGGCAGCTCCACCCGTGGACTCCCTTTCTCCATGTCCCAGCTCCACCAGCTGTCCATTCCACGTCCCGAGCAGCTCCCATGGTCTCAAAAGCTCCACGTCCCAACATCCTCTTCAGCAAATCATGCAACAACAACAAATGGGAAATTTTTGTTTTATATTTGTAATAGGGGTTATTAAATAACCCATAGAAAAGATCATTGTGATTTTTTTTCTTCATGTTTTGCAATGAAACGTCAGCTGGGTGTTTTAGTTTAGGTCATATATTAGCATTTTAGGGTAAATTACATATAGGCCATTCTATTTTAGCCTTACATTTCTATTTTGGTCACTAATTTCATCTTTTTCTTATCTGTTTTAAATTTAGGCTGCAAGTTTTATTTTCTTTAGTCATTTCTATATTTTTGTTTTATTTTGTTATTAACATTTGTTTTTTATTACATTTATTTTAATCACTTTTTAGTCATGATTTGTTTACTATTTTATTTATTTCTTACATTTTGATCCCATATTGTTAAAATATGAATATTATACCTTAATGCGACTTTGCGGTGACCCACCCTAGGATATAATACACATTATTTATGGTCCAGGTAAAATTTTAACTTTTAACTGTTAATTTATTAACTCCTGATTTATTTTCTTTTATTTACATTTATGCTTTTTAAATTTGTTACTTTATTTCATATCTTCTTTTTCAGTACTTTAATTTTAGTCCTTTGATTAGTGCATTTTATTTTTTGTTCATTTCATTTTAGTCCTGTGAATATATATGAAAGCCTCATAAGTATAACTCGGCCGATTTCATAATTGGATTAAAGACAATATTTATTTATTTTAAAAATATTAAGAAATAACCGTCTTAAAGTAAATAGATGTCATATTCTGATATTTTAAAAAACAATACCTTACTAAGAAAAACTAAAACTCGAGTATGCTTAAAATTAATTAAGATTAAAGGAAAAATAAAATGTTCCTTTATTTAAAATTTGTCAAGACAATCCGTCTAATTTTTATTAGTGGTTTAGTCTCGATCTTTTTAAATAATTGACAATCCGTCTAATTTTTATTAAGGGTTTGTTCTCGATCTTTTTAAATAATTGAGCATCCTTTATTTTTTCTAATTAAATAGAATTGGCTTAGTATCTTTATTTATTTGTTGAATCCAATTATTTCAATATTGAGTTCTTGGAGAAAATATTATATTCTTTTTCATTTCAGTTGAAAAGAGAAATATTCGTTCTAAAATATTTTAGGAATTATTTTCTCTTTGATTGAAAATACTGGAATATTTTTCATTTCTCCTTAGAATTTTCCGTTACATAAAATTATGCTATTGAATTTGGAATAATATGATTGTAACTTAAATTTATATTCGAATTCTTATATTTCCATTACTAGAGACAAATTATAATTGATGGGGTACTAATTTTGGACGTTGTAGGGGTGCTAATCCTTCGCACGTGTAATTGACCCCGAATTTCTTTTTATTACTAAAAAGAATGAATTTATGGTTATACATAGATTGGTATCTTTTAAAATGATATTTTCTTAAAAACTCTTTTAAAATGTGATTTTTATGTATTCGACCTAACTAACTCAAAATGTCAATGACAACTCTCATTCTTTTCATTAAAAACCGTTTATTTGTTTTTTTAAGAAACATCGTACCGGACGAAGATCGGTTACGACAAGTTGCAAGATATACTAGTCCAGTGCTTTATTAGAAAAAGAAGAAGAATTTTTTTCTCTAACGTACATGTTAAACTCTTTTTGAATTATAAAATCTAGAATTAAGCCCGTTGCATAGGGCTTCATTATATTAAGTATGACGAGTTTCCAATTTGACAATTATAAAATCTAAAATGATAATTTTTAGTTACTTGTAAATTATGATCTTACCTTGATCAGGTGTGTGTATATATATATTCCAAATACTCGATCGCTGGTATTCGAACTAGTGACCTCTAAGAATAACGACGATTCTTTTAACTACTGAGGTAAGTTGATTCTTTTCTTACCTTGATATATATGTTATAATATTTGGGCATAAATGTTGAAGTAACTCGTTAGTTGCAATTAACTGATGCTCGGCGCACTTCACGTCTTCATTATGATAATAATTGTTTCTCCTTTAAAGTTTTTCTCTTTGTTTTTTCCTTACACAATCTCATTGCCATCCTGCAATTTCGCCATTGATTATATCTTTCCTTTTGACTTTTTTTTCGCTTGAAATTAACCAATTATTATAAAAACGAAAGATGAATTAGAAAAGGTATCTCAACTATGCCACTCTATTTTATGAAGTGATGAACTAAACTCGGCAAAAGGAAGTAAATTGGCGGGGATCTATCAACCTAAAGCTGAGGAAGTTTTGGGGTTAAAGATATGCAGCTTTAGAATAAATTTTGAGGCTCGAGGATCTTATGAAAAAAGAAAACGGTTAAAAAATGATAGTTTACGTACTAAATGTGTTAAGTTTTTAATGACGGGTAATAAAATAAAAAGTAAATGTTAGATATGGTTTTGAAAAAAATTGAAAATCTAGGTAGTAAAATGGATAAAAGCATATACTCCAGTTCGTGTACTAAATGCGCAGTTTACCCTAAAGTTTTTGGTAGATACTAATTAGGGTAAAGTACACAACTAGTCCCCATATTATAAGGAATTATTTGGTTGAGTCTCTCGATTATTAAAAATTAAAAAATGGTCTTTTGATTATTAAAAGTTACAAAATGATCATCAGACTATCCATATATTCAAAACTCATTATTATTCGTTAAAAAATTCATAACCTTCTAAGTTGGACATTAATTTGTTGACTGAAATGTGATAAAATAATATTTTAATGGTGTATATTGACATTGTCGTTGCTTTCAAACACTGACTCAACAACATAATATTTCAAGTACTCGCTCGACTACAAATGTAAATAGAAACTCAATTCACAAAATACAACTCAATCTCAATTAGCATATTAATATCCAACTTAGACGACCACCGATTTTTTAATAAAAAATAACAATTTTAAAACATAGAAACAATCGAGTGATTATTTTATAATTTTTAATAATTAATTCTCAACAAAATAATGTTTTATTATCATAATAATATTTTATAACTTGTAATAATCGGAAAAAAATAATAAAACACCGTTATATCTTAGAGGATAATTTTGTACTTTACCCTAATAATTATATAGTTTCGAATCTTGGTCACTTAATAATCGAAAAAGATAGTGTCGTGGTTTTGAATCTTCTCGTTCTCAACGCGTAATTAGGCTGGGAAATCAACCAGTAACATTTTTATTCTATTTTTTACAAAAATAAAATAAATCATTTTGACATAACACTCACCAAATATTACAAAATAACCACGATTCAATTTATTATTACTGAAATAATTTTAAACTTGTATTGTATACCATATTTATTTTGTTTTTAGAAAATAAGAAAACGGTGTGCTGCTGTTTGTTGTTTTCAGAAAAGGTTTAAATAGACGAATAGAAGAATTTAGGTAAATCCAAAGCTTTCACCGACTGTTGCATGTCTTCCACGTTGTTCTCGATATCTCTGCACGTGTAACCAAACAAATGCTGCTTCCTTCTTCACTTTCTTAACAACAAATAGGCATTAGAAGAGCAAAGAAAAGGTCCCACAGAACAAAGTTTCCAGCTTTCTCAGTTTCAGAACCATAACCATGTCTACCGTCTCACCACCATCTTCATCCCCAGCATTAGGTAATCTCAAACTATACCTTCAAGATGGATCAACCCAAGATTTTCCCATTCATATATTTAAATATATCTTTATTTTTATTGTTTCAGATACTCTCAGAGAAGTAATTCTATGGAGGAGAAAGAAGGTGAGCGCAACGGTTGTTCTCGTTTCAACAGCGACATGGGTATTGCTAAAAGCTTATCAGTTCAACTTCATCACTGTCGTTTCATGGCTGACCATCCGCAGCCTCGCTTCGCTTTTCCTTTGGTGAAACATTCTGAGGCTTCTCGGCAAGTAAGTAGTTCAAAACCTCCCCTTCTAATTACATCGAATCATTGTTCATTTGGTTTTCAGAGAACCACCAAGGGTGTCCAATATGGAGTTCTCGTAACAGACAACCTTGGAGATTTCGAACACATCTCGGACGGTCGTGGAAGATGTTTTGAGATGGATGTTTCGCGTGACTGTTGAGGAGAACTGGTTTGTTTTTGCAAGGAAACTGGCCGGGCTTCTGTTGCTTTCCTATGTTGGAACCTTTTTTGATTTCCTCACACTTGTTTACATTGGTAATAACAAAAATATACCTTGTGTTTTAATCTGAGTTTTCCCATGTCGGTATCATGTTCATGTTGTTTTGTTGTGGGGATTTGTTCAGGTATAACGGTGTTGATGACGGTGCCTGTGATATATATGAAGTATGGGGACCAAATAAAGAGACATGGAGAGAGGGTGAAGGGTCAAATGAGATGTTTGGTGAGAAAGATACTGAGTAAACAAGAGAGGGAGAAGAAGGTTGAGTAGTGGGCCTATCTTTAATGTTTATTTATTTTCATAATGTTTTCTGTTAGCTGAATTTTCATGTGAATTAGCTCAAATTAATTAATTATAAGATTAAATAAATTTCAAGAGGATAATGTTTACCATATATCAAGATGTCGTCCAGAAAGATCAGAATACATGGTATTCATAAGACTCTTACATATATGTATAATCTATCAATCTTATTTGTAAGTTAAGATTTTTTTTGTTAAATTTGATAAATGGAACATTGGTTTGTAAACATATTTTAAATATTTCTTATTATGATTTCTTATTATTATTCGTAAACATGTTAAATTTGTTCAATATTATTTTTTATTTTTCCAACATTTTATAATTGTAAATGCAACCATATTAAACTAAATGATAAAAACCTTAATATCACACGGATTCATAAATATAAGATGGACAACAAACGTATATCTGATCAATTGTTGTCAGGTTCCAAATGTTAGGGAAACAATATTATTTAGAATGGGCCGAATCTTTTAGCAATTAAGTTTACCTTAAACCCGGCAAAAGTTTCAGATAATGCTTCCACTTTTTAATTCTCCAGATAATTAATTCTTCACTGAGAATTATTCTCAACATAGGCTATTTGCTACAATAAACGAGGAAGACGCCGTATAATCGTCGTGACCTGTTGAGGACACCAGGTTTTTTATGTATCTTTGAGTCAAAACCGAACACAATGAAGACGTGATGTAATCTCTGCGATTTGGAGATGAAGACCCGGAGATTACCATGCGTTTTCAATGCAAGTTCCGTATCTTCTGCAAGCTTACACACCACTGTCGTCCATGCAACACAGTTGTCTTGATGCAACATACATCCGTGAAGGTTGCAATGGTCATGCATGCAAAATTTGCAAGCAACATGCGTCCATGCAGCACAGCTGCTTGATGCAGCATGGCCGTGAAGAGTAAAATCAAATCAGCTTTGATTTCAAATCTTACAAAGCCTGCTCCCGTGTGAAAATAAATGAGTTTGTATAAAAACATAATTTTAGGTATATATGGACGAGTTGAGGTGTTAGATTGAACCAAAATTAGGGAGGAGTGAAAGAGTGAAATCTCTGCTTGAAGAAAAATAGGAAGACTGAAATAGGAAGACTACAAAGCTTGCTTGAAGAACGAAATTTTCTTTCGTTTTCTTAAGTATTCGAATAATTTATATAAATGTGTAATAGTTTACGTCTGTTAAATGATATTGTTGAGTTCATTTACAGATATTTGTTGTTAAATGATATTGTTGAGTGATATTTTACCTCATATAATTATGTTAAATGTGTATATCAGTTTTGTAATGTTTTTAGTTTTTATTTGATTTGTGATAAAACAATTAGTATTGATTTAGTATTTAGATTAAAATGATAAAACAATTAGATCATATTGCCTTATTAACTATTGTTAGAGTATTTTATTTTATTTTTTGTTTTATATATATATATATTTCATATGTAGAGAAAAATGAGCAACAAATTATTTGTGATTGTCCATTATAATAGACAGATTATAGAGAATAAGGTCGGTGTTGTTTTTCAATCTAAAAGACTTATAAATATGATGTTTAAAAGAGACATCACATTTATAGAAAGGAAAGAGAAGATAAAAAGAAGAATACGAGCTACAATTGATGAGTTGAGGTACATGTTTATGATATGTCCTAATCCAGTCACGTATGCAGCAGTACCACTTTTAAAAGATGATGATATTAGAACTATGATTGAAGTACATGGCTCAACAAATATTTCAGTTATTGAGTTATTTGTTGAGGTGCACAAGATATTTGAAATTCCTGGGTGGTAAAAAAAAATATGGTTAGAAATTCATTTCAAATGACTTTCGGAATGAGTTTGAGGACCCATTCCTAGTTTTAGTAACAGATTTAAAAGTATACTCGAGTAAATGGGTACAAGTTTAAAAAATTTATTCAAAATGATAGGTAAACGATGAACATAAAAATATTAAATGAGTATGTGAACGAGAAAAGAGATATCATCACCCATTCCTAATTTTTAGTAATGACTGATAAAATGTATTTTCATCTTCCGTGACATGAATAAGTGTAATTGTCATAAATAATTAAAAATAAGATACTATTTAGGTAAAAGAAAATCCTCATTCATAAGATAAAGTAATGAAATTCAAAGTAAAACAAAGACTAACGCCATGTTAGAAAAAGTGAAATCCCAAGGGCAAAAAACGATGCAGAAGTGCAGATCCCCATATGAAATATTATATTATATTATATTATAATAAATCATACTAATTCAATGTTCAAATGCATCAAGTTAATCATCAAACCCCAAAAACACAATGCCGACTTAAAACAGACAGTAGTAGATTCGAGATAAGATTGAAAAACCCATAGCCGCTTTATTCCTTTCCTTCTGTCTTTCTTTTTTTTTATATATAATTTGTGAAAATTTTACTCATCAATCTAATTTTTTATTTAATTTTATTTAATCGATAATAATACAAGTTTTGATATTGGTTACCATATGCCGGTTATATTTTTCTTTATTTTTTAGTTTTTGAATAAAAAAATTATGTCTTTGTGACATGTTTCTCTGTCTTTGTGACATGTTTTTCAGTCTTTGTGACACATTTATCTCTGTCTTTGTTGTATTTTTTTCCTTTCCTTTTGATAGTTTACGGTTTTGTGTTGTTGTTCTCGTTTATCTTTTTTCTCAGGGTTAGATTTGACATCACCACGACTGATCAAGATGACGCTTATTTGTTATCATGACGATCTTTCCTACTTTAGACCCTTTGTTCGTTTACCGATACAATCAGATTTGTTTGTATCTTTATTTTGTTCGAACTTTTTCATTAGATTTTTTAACATTTTTCTTATTTAGTCCGTGTGTGATCTAAATGACTAGTTTAGTGACATGTTTATCTGTCTTTGTGATATGTTTCTCTGCCTTTGTGACATATTTACCTCCGACTTTATTGTTCTTTTTTCCTTGCCTTTTGGTAGTTTATTGTTTTGTGTTGTTGTTCTCGTTTATCTTTTTTCTCAGGGTTGGATTTGACATCATCACGACTGATCAAGATGACGCTTATTTGTTATCATGATGATCTTCCCTACTTTGGACCATTTGTTCGTTTACCGATACAGTCAGATTTGTTCGTATCTTTATTTTGTTCGAGTTTTTTTCGTTAGATTTTTTAACATTTTCCTTATTTGGTCCGTGTGTGATCTAAATGACTAGTTTTTGTGTCAATGATTATAGTAAAATATCATAATTATAATTTTATTTACGTTTACGTCATACTTATAAATCTTTATTGTAATTCTATATATTTTTATTTTTATTTTTAATAAGACTAGCGGATTTCTATAAAAAAAAAAAACAATGGTGACTTTAGATCTCAATCTTTCTCTAGGCAAAATGGATCAATTAACGTGTTGGGAAAAATAATTAACTCGTACAGGCCTACGGGTGATTAATTTCAGATGAAATGATTTTCTCAGTGTTGTTTGGAAAATATTATGAATACAAAACGTCTTTTAAAAGATGCAGTGAGTACAATACGTTTTTGGAATAGATTTATTGATATAATTGGAAAGATAAACACAAACAAAATTCTTAATATAGAGGACGTATTATAATCACCGCATTTACTAGAAGATTCACTGTGTTCCTAATAACTTTAAATGTCCTGTCTCAGAAAATAATTTCTCGGTCATGCTGTAGGAATCAATTTTTTTCAACCCCCCATTTAATCCATTTTACCCATTCTCTTCCCTCCTTGTGACTCCAAGAACTTTAGAAATTGTTGAAAATCTTCAACATATGGATGAAACAGCACCAATGGCAGAATCGCAGTTTATGGAAAAGAAAAGAGTTAAAACAGATTAATCTATACGTTGTTATAGAAATACAATGAAAAGATGGAACTTTTCATTTCCCTTGACAAAAAGAACAAATGCAAATCCTGTACAGAACAGCTGTCTGAAAAAGTCCATCTAATCCCAATGTTAATAAAGTTTTCTTCTTTCGACGACACTCTGATTTATTTTTTTCATAAAAAGAAGTTTGAAATTTCATGTAAAAAGGAGCCATCTACTGAGGCAGAATCTGAGAGGATAAGTCAAGATCATGGATTTGATCTGCCACAAAAAAAAAAAATCCACTGTTTCATCTTTTGGAGAAACAAGGCCTAAGTTTTGAAGAGCAAAGTTGGATCTTTATTTGATTCAAACCATGCTGATAAATGCTCGTTCATTTCTTTCACGTCAATCCAAGGCTGTCATTCGTAGCTGATGAAAATAGGAATATCCCACATCGGTGAAAGGACAATAATTCTCTTTACCAACTCTTCTGCCCTCACACAATTGAGAGTAATTTCTATCTCTCCACTGGCATCATATGATATTTTAACCAAATTTATCGAAGAAGAGGATAAAAAAAAAACAACCACCACCATTGAATGGGAAGATATTGAACACCCTTCATAAATGCAAAGCTTGTCTAGTAACAAGTCCTCGTGGATAGGCATTTACCATAAGTTAATAAAACAAAGGATAAATGATGAAATGAGTTTACCTAGATTGAAAATTTGTTGATGGAAGGCAAAAAAAGATGATTTCCTTGTTAATTTATTCAACTGGCCCAATGCTCCTTGCCTCATCGTCGCTGCCTGATCTTTGCGGTGCTTGGTCTTGTTGTGACTGAAGTAAAAACTGTGCTTGAAGTGGATGGTGGTGATAGCCTCCATGACAATGGTGATGGTCTTGTTTTGCTTGAATCTGGTAAGGGTTTTCAAAGCTTCCCAGAGCCAATGAAGGTGGGGACATGGTGGCGGCTGCAGCAACCGGACCACAACCTTCAAAACCATTGTTAAACCTCACAATCTCATGTTGTTGCTCATATAACTTCTCTTGTTGTTCCCTTGCTGCTATTAACGCTGCCAATTGTTGCTGAGCCTTGAACACCTGTTGCTGCTGTGTTTCTCTCATCACTAAATGACCCGAAGCCGCCGCTGTTCCGGCAGCCATGGGAATCCCCATCATCCGCATCACGTTGTGATGCATAACAGCCGAGGAAGATGAAGACGGAGAAGGGTTTTCGAGATGTTGCAAGAAGACCGGCGGTTGTAATATGGGAAGCGTTGCTTGAGGGCCGATATAAGTAGCCAACTCTTTCTTGGCGTTGTTGAGATCGTGTTGCATTTGTTTGAGCTTCTGTTGGAGGATCGAGATGAGGCCGACGCAGCCGTAGACGGGGTCCCGGAGACGAGCCTCGGCTTCGTAGGCCAACGAGTTGACGGCATCATCACGTTGGGCGGTGTTCAGTTCGTTCAAAAGCTTGGCCACGTTGCTGGCGCCGAACACCTTATGAACGTTGGCGAACTTCTGAGGGTTGTCCGGCGGGAAATACGGTGCAAAGACGCATTCTTGGGTGCATTTCCGACGAAGGAACTTGCACGCCGCGCATGGAGAATTGGAAGATGACATTTTTTCAAGATCTTACGAGATCCAGAAAAAAAAAGGGAGATCTAATAAGAGAAAAATGAAATTACTCGTAAAATTGGATCCTTCATCTTCCAAGCTTTCAAAACAAAAAACCTTAAACTCAACGAGAAACAAATTATATTGTCATTTCTGGGCAGAGGTAGATCTGGTTCTCTCTAAAAGCTTCTGCTTGTTTTATTTTTCTTTTTTTTCCCTCAGAAAAGTCAAAGAGAAATGAAACAGATAGTGATTTAACCTAACCCTAAAGACTAGAGACAACAGGTTCTTTTAAGGTAAAAAAAAAATCTGGGTTTTTTTGTTTGGTTGTTAAAAAAGAAAGGTACTGAAATTTTGTTTTTAAGGAAAATGGATATATAAAAAAAGTGAAAGAAATAAAGAACAAATTTATTATCGCCTTGAAAGGGTTTGTCTTTTACCCTGGCCCTGAGCAACTATTGAATGCGTCTCTGAGTTACCTCTTTGTCCCTGTGTTGTCTCCCTCTAAATAAAAGATAGTACTAAGCTATGATTTTATGTGATGTGATTAGAATCAATTAATTATCATTTTTTAATTAAGTGTGAGTTAAGTAATTAATTTGATTTCTCTGAATATCTTCATCATTTATCTTCAAAAGTTGCCTTTTGCTTCTCGTCTCTGATTTAGTTTGTCAATTCTGATCTAATTATCATTTAAAATAAATGGGTTATTGATAAAGCTAAAGTGAGAATTTAATAGTAAGTATTATGAATTAATTTTATTTAATGCATTAAATAAAAAAATCTTATAAATACTTTCAAAATTAAAATTAGCTGACACTTATTCCCATATGTGTAATGGGGTAAGGGGGAGGTAGGATAGTAGGCTGACCCCAACGCTAGGTTGAGAGCAGCTTCCGTAGGAGACATCTGAATTATGAAATGCCTTCCGTGGGACTCGATCCCACAACCCCAATATTAAGAACCTTATGATCTACCAACTGAGCTGGATGACCATTTCTTATAAATACTTTCAGTGATACCAATAAAAAGATCTTCAGATTAATTACAAGTATGAAAAAATTGCATTTAATTAAAAATTTTAGGATCAACCAATTATGATTTAAAAAAAACAATTTTTGGAAATGTTGTTTCCTTCTATAGAATTCAATGGACGACATTTTATAGTGGGAAATTGTTAAAATTAACAACCTATAAGTTGTCTTTTTTACGTAGGTTCACTTTTATTTTGATAAATTACATATTTATCATGTAATTTTCACTTCACTTCTACTTTAGTCATTCAATGTTGTGTTTTAGTTTCATTTATCGTCTAAAAATTAATAGTGATATTGATGTATCATCATAAGGTATTAATGTTTCATTATTGAAAAAAAAACAATCATATAAACTAAAGATGGCAAACAAGGAGAGAATGTGCATATACCCCTTTTTCCATCTTCATATTCACTTAATATTTTCATATCCACAATTTACTTATCACTCAGGGTAAAATTTTTAAATCTACACATATCCAAGCGAGTACATTCTCAAATCCACCCTACTCCAACTACTCAATTGGATACCCACCTCGTACTTGTTTGTATTTGTGTGACATCAACCTCACATATTATATAAGCAACAAAACATAAAATAAACATATTCATTAAGAAGCATAATAAAATAAACCGATGATTAATTGAATTTATCCCTAACATTTAGTTGGAATATAAGTTATGAACTATAAAAATCTTAAGATTTATAGAACATACATAGAAATTATACATAAATACGTAATGATCCAAAAATTTTATGGTAGGTAATTAATGGGCTAGCGGATGTGGGAACCCACAACAGGTATAACTTTTTACATCTACAACCGTACACTACCCACAATACTTATATCCATCTCCAGTCTAATTAGATCAATATAATCACTGATAAATCCAAAAAAAAAAAATTCAAGAGTGGAAACGTATGTTAAAAACATAAAATTTTTAAATGAGATGAGTACAAATAAAATTTCATGGTAGGCATCATCCATAAAATAAGTAATTAATAAAAAAATTTAGATTTCAAGGTGGACACGAAATTTTTTAAGATAAATAACATCAATAAAATAAATAATTAATAAAAAATTTAAATTTCAAGATAAACACGTACTCATCCTCATTCCACGAACAATGAACCACATCGTGTCTCGATTCTCACATTAATACTGTCCACGTTTATCCATAGATTCAAGTAATGAAAGTTGTTGTTTAAGAGCCATCCCCATGCACGAGTCACGAAAGACGAGAAAAGTGCTTTCAATTGTCGATCGGTCAATGGGGGCTACCGTGCGAATTACTCAATGTTTTGGCATTTCGGGGGGCAGCAGCATCTGCCGATGAGGACCGAGTCACTCGGTCTCAGGCGGGCGTCGTCACCCACTCACTGTTTTCGTATTTGTTTCAACTGTTTTATCGTATGAGTATTTATTTTCTTAAAGACTTTTGCCTTTCGCATTCATTATATTGAGATGACTAAACCTCAGCACTCATTGCCTTCAACTGTCTACTCAACTCTACCCCCTCTGCTACATCAGACCGTTACCCTATTTTTACTTAATTATAAATATGTATTAATTAATTTTAGGGTAAATTCGAGTTTTTTCCCCTTTTCCTCAATAGTGTTTCGATGGTAACTGACATTGATGATCTATGATAAACCGATCGTTTGACGTTAACATCAATTATTAAAATAGTAGAATATTAATGTGACACATTAAACCGATTGATATGATATTATTTGGTCATATAGGACAACAATTTTAATCGATGTTTAACGCTTAAAAAATTTTATTTTCTTTTGGCTACATCAAAAATAGGATTTGATTTTGAAATGGGTAAATTAAAATTTTCTCAAGGATTGAGGTTTTTTTTTTACTTATATAACAAAAAAATACCTAAAGTTTACCATATTTTTCATTTAAGTACCTACAGTATTTTGTATCAAGATAAATTCCTAAAATTATCTTTTTGGTCAAAATAAATACTTAAAATATTTTTTAGTCAAAATAAATACCTAAAGTATTCAATTTTTTCATCCAAGTACCTAAAATATTCTTTAATTAATGTCACGCGTCAACTTTTTTTGAACTTAGATGAACAAATTTGAATAGTTTAGGTACCTATTTTGACATGAAATACTTTATGTATCTCTTTTGATTAAAAAAAATAACTTCATGTATTTGTTTTGACCAAAAAAATACTTTAAGTACTTAAATAAAAAATAGAATATACTTTAAGTACTTATTTGTTATATAAACCTTTTTCTAATGTAAACTATGGTCTTCTTTGTATAGGAGAATCAAACATTGGTCAAATTTGTGTCCCGTGTGGCCAAACAGTTTCATATCAATTGATTTAATTTAACATCAATATTTTATTATTCTATTTAATAACAATAATGATCAAATCGTTACTTCTAAAATATAAGTGGGAAAAAATTTAAACTTTAATGATCATTTGTGTAATTTACGTTTATTTATTCAATTTCAATTTATTTGAGTACAATATAGCTGCATTTTACATTAATAGATTACTTTTAAGATATATATTTAAATTATTAATATTTTAATTAAATCATACAAGCAACCTTGTTCATATGAGAAAAATATATTCAGTTAATTCAGTTCCCAAAGACAATCAGGATCTCCAATTAAATTCTTAACCGACATAAACTAAACTAATTTAAAAATTACTCATAATATAATTTAATCAAAACACAATTAATATATTTAAATAAATAAATCGATTATAAAAATAATTAAAGAATATGTGTCAATTAATACCCTATTAGCTTGTTTAGTGCATTGTCCGTCAAGATACGAGCAACTTGATTCACTTCTTGATAAACATGGAGGAAGGATACATCCCAATATCATAGCTCATTTATTTTATCATTCGAATTATCAAATGCTGATTTAATTAATAATTTTAATTATTGAGAATAACACATAAAATTATAACAAATAGAAATCACTGCTTTTATTAAAAATAAAAATTATTTAAATTATAATGAAATTTTATAATCACAATTGTAAACTAAATATATAATAAGAAGATTTATTTATAATTATTAACACTAAAACTACTCATATGAGATTGTATAATGACCATATAGAGAAAATATTAAAAAATCTTATCAGAAATAAATACGAACATATTTGTTCACATCAGTAAACGAACTACAAAAGAGATCAAGCTGTCAAAAGATCACCGACAAATAAGGATGACAATTTAACCTGAAACTAATGAATTTTGACCTAACCTAACTCAATAGGGTTTGATTTTTTTTTAAAAAAAATTTGGGTTCGGGTAAGGTCAATTCAAATTTTATAAAAGAGTAAGGTCCGATCAGGTTCAGATGGAGGGTGAAAAAACTTGAACATGACCCAAGAGTAATAATGTAATTTCTTCAAATAAATTTATGAATCATTGCTATAATACTCCACATCTTTATTAATTTTTAATTATGTCATTATTTTATATCGGATCAAGTTAGGTCTGATAGGATTTATACTTTAAAAATTTATTTCGAGTCAGGCCTGGTAGAGGATATATATTTTTGGGTCGAGTTGGGTCGAATTGAGGGTATATGTTTATTTTTGGGCCGGGTCATGGTCGAGTAAAGAGTATATATTTTTCGGGTCAAGTCGGATTACGATGATGAAAAAAATAGATTAATAATGACCCAAGAAAAAAAATAGGGTTGAAAATCATAAGAATAATAAGAGTTAAAGTGTTAAAATGTAAAGAAAATTCATAATTTTTAAAGTATTATTTAATATTTATTAAAATAATCAAAATACAAAAATTAAATTTTAACCTATCAAACTAGTTAATTTGATAATTATTGTTTTAATATAAAATAATAATAAATATAAATGACAATTAACTAAATAATTTTTTATAAAAAAGAAGTAAGTTTCTTTTCATTGCACGTTCACATGCCAATGCAAATATGTATTTCATAACTTTATGAGAAATTAGAAAAAAAAGGGGCATATTGCTATTCATTGCACGTTAACATGACAATTTAAATATGCAT